ATCCGTCAGCCCTCAGATGGGGAGTCAACAGCCCACAGGTCTGGTGGTGACTGATGAGGAAGAGGAGGAACAGCTGTATCCAGTGCCTGACACATTGCTGCACAGGAGGCAGAGAAGAGGAGAGCAGTGGAAAGCCGTGGGCCGATCCTGGGCAAGGAACAGCCACCGCTGCTGGTGAGGCCCCACCTAGCACTGGGGATAAAAGGCAGGGGGCAGAGATGAAAGGGTGTGGCAGACAACTATTCATCATCTGGCCGACCGGACTTGTTAGCCTGCAAGAGAAACTTTTTGCCAGGGCTGTCGGCATTCCTAATAAAAGAACCTTTTGAGTTCACATCAGAGGATGTGTTGTGTTTGGGGAGCTGGGTCAGAACAAGGAGGTTGTGGGAGAGAAATCTCTCAGTTAGGCAATATTTATTTAAGGGATACAGGTAAACTGTGGACCAGAAATACAATTCCATTTACCAGAATGCAGCACATCTGTAGTGCAATTCAACTGAAGACACGATTCTGTCAAGCTGGTAGCACTGAATGACTTAATACATACTTAAGTCTTTATCAGTAACATTAACTGTGAATGAGGTTGCAAGGCTTTATATTTAAACAGATCACACAATGCATCGATGTGAAAAAAAAGCACCCCACCCTGCTTCAAAGTTTATAAGCAAGGTTCTATTTACCTGCTTTACGCCCAGACTGCATCATCATTCGACGTCGCACTGTGTCAAAGGGATAGGAGACCACGCCAGCTACTGCAGTCACTGTTTGTGCAATCATCCAGCTTATCACAATATGAGTATTCTTAGGATCTGGCAACATACCTATAATATAACAAAACTCTCATGAAAATAAGATTTGGAAGCATCATTTAAAAGTGTCCAAAGGTATGTAAAATAAAATCAATAATAATATTACAAGGCACTGTAATTTAACACCAGCTGTCTGCAATTAAAATAAGTTTGAATCTTGCCAGGCTCAAGGTTGACTCAGCCTTCCATCCTTTCTAAGGTAGGTAAATTGAGGACCCAGATTGTGGAGGCAATAAGCTGACTTTGTATAAATATACAAAAGTATGAAGGCTATTGCTTAACGCATTGTAAGCCGCCCTGAGTCTCCGGAGAAGGGCGGCATATAAATCAAATTAAAATAATAATAATAATAATAATATCAATTATCTTATTTACAACAGGATGAGTGTTTAATAAGCAGGTGATCATCCTACATCAATTACAGCTAGTGGTAATAGTAAAACTATGTTTAGTCTTATTCTTTCCACTTTAAGGAAAGATAACAAGACATTTTTTAGCCTTAATAAAATATAGAAGAGAATATAGTTAAACTGTGGAGTCCTTGGTGCCCCCTAAACTTGTTTGTTTGCAGATGCTTCATTATTCAACTCGGTAACATTGTCAATACCATTAATAAGTACTGATTATGTTACATAGTCGAGTAATGAAATGTCTGCAAACAACCAAATTCAGAGAACCCCAGGGTTTCTTCAGTTCAACAGAATATTTTAACTGTTTTTATTTATCTTATCTTTGAATTGTATGTCGGGTGTGTGTGTGTCATAGAATCAGTATCAAAATAATAAACTATTTTGAGTGGATGCCATCCTCAAGATTTTGAAAATTGTTTTTGAGATTAGATATCAAGTCACCTTTCCTTCATTTCTATATTTTAGCCCACTGAAATTTAAAATGTCTTTCCAAACATTATACCACAGAATTGACCATATTTTAGCAATTGAATCCAACAACTATAACCTTTACCAATCAGAAACAACATTTCAAAAGGGTATGCTAGGTTATTTGTCAAGATCAGCCTGAATATTTTACTTACCTTTTGCTGTATCATAGATTCCAAAATAAGCAGCTCTATAGATGATTATGCCCTGAACAGAGACATTGAAGCCTTGATATAAGCCACGCAGGCCATCAGACCTGAAGATTTTGACGAGACAATCTCCGAGACCTGTGAATTCTCTGTCAGCACCAGCTTTTCCAACATCAGCTGCCAGCCGAGTTCTCGCAAAATCCAAAGGATAGACAAAGCAGAGGGAGGTAGCTCCAGCTGCACCACCTGAGGCCAGGTTACCAGCAAAATATCTCCAGAACTGTGTATGTTTGTCTACTCCTCCTAAAAACACTTGCTTATACTTATCCTTGAAGGCAAAGTTGAGTGCCTGAGTTGGGAAGTATCTAATAACATTGGCAAAATTTCCACGCCAGAAGGACAACATTCCTTGCTCTTTGGGAATGCGGACTACACAATCAATGATTCCTTTGTAATGTTTATCAGCAGCAATCTGCTTACTTGCATGTTGCACCTGTAAGAAAAGTTTTATAACTCTAAATTAGATGTATTTTTTTTTCTGAAGCATCACATGAAATTACATTTATGATAGTGTGATCTGTATACACATTATAAATAATATTAAAAGGACTATATACAACCTTAAATGAACATCTACTGTGTTCACAATATAAAAATGCAGAATTTGAACTTTATATCAAAAGTAAGATTTTTAAAGACACTCCCTTGGAAAATAATGGGAACAGACAAGCTTTCCTCAAATCTATAATGGTCAACTATGAACAAAGATGGAAAGTTATTCCCACCTAACATTTAATCAAACCAAACTTTATCACAAACATAGTAAGCTGCCTTGAAACCATTGATCTACTTAGTCCATTGTTATTGATACTGTCAGTGTTTTTCAAGACAGGACATAAATTAGACATATCTGGACAGTTTTTGCATACAAAAGTTCAACCACCTTAAAATTCATCTACACATTCCTCCGTATGAGTTTTAAAAAGCCATCTATATAAATTTACCTGACTTCAAAACCTACGCAATTTTGAACAAAACTCATATACCTTTCTAAAGTCTAGGAATTTATGACTCTCCTGTTAATGCAGGTTGCAAAAACACTCGAGAATATTTTTATTATTATTTTATCCTTTTTCATTCGTATTTGACGTTTTAATCCCTTGGAAGCAGTTCATATTCGCCTGGTGAATATGCAGCCATATAAATTGACTCAATAAATTCAGAGTAAGTGATAATCTGCATGGAACGATATGTGGGTTTGGTAAATAAGAAAAAAGAATGGCCTGCAAAAGGGGATAGTAGTAACTTCGTCTCTATGGCTCAGAGACGTACTCTGCTGTCCTAACCGGGAAGAAACAGCATTTAAAAATACAAGGCGGAGTCCAGCAGACAACGAAACCAGCGTCTAAGTAGCGAAGGGGCGGAGCTAATCCAACCGCCGTATTAGAAACGTCACTCCTCTCGCCGACTCCGCAGAGCCTTTCGCTTCTGCCAAGTCACGCGAGAAATAAGCGGGAAGAGGCGAAAGCCCCACCGCATCCTCTCCTCGTCTACTAGGGACCTATACGTCCGCCGTCCTGTCAATCAAAGACACGTCGCCGGAAGAAAAATGGCGGCCGGTTCCTACTTCGCTCGACCTCTCTCTCTCTCTCTCTTGTTCCCGCCCTTTCTTCCGACTCAAAGGAAACCCAGCGGGAAAACGAGCAGGGGACGGATACGGATGCGAGTCGACGCCCTCCCCCACCCCATCCCCTGGATCCCGCTACCCGCCTTCCACCCGTCCCGGCTACCTCCTCCGGTCACGCGATTCAAAGTCTCCAGGAAGGGAGCCGGTTTGACAGCGCCCTGGAGCGGCCGCCACGCGGAGCGAGCGGTGCCTCCGTTGTCCCTACAGCAGAGCCGCTCCGTCCCCCTCATCTCCATAGCCGAGGGCGGTGGAGGGACGGAGGTTCCCCCCTCCCTAGAGCTTCTCCCGTCCTCCCCCCCCGCCACGTGCTCGGCGGGCCTGACCTGAAGCAAGAGCTTGACTCGCTCAATGGGAGCCACCGCCGTTTTGCTGATGGCCGCCGCGATGCCGCCCGCGAGGAAGTCCTTGGCGAAGGAGATGGCCTGCTCTGTCATGGCTGCAGGAGTAGATGGGAGCCGCCGGGTGGTACCGAAGGGAGGGGCTGGGGAACGGGGCGCTCTGTCGTTGCGGCCGCAGCGCAAGACACCGAAAGGGAAGGGCTGCCTCTGCTCGGGAGCTAAATGGCCGGCTCGGGAAGCTCCGCCCGCTGGGCGCCATTGGCAGGCCCGACGAAGAGAGGCGGGCTGTGCCGGACGGCTGCGTTTCCCTTCGGTCCCTCCTGCTCCCCACGAGGCCTTCCTCGCTCTCTCCCTTCCCGCTAAAGTGCCTTTGAATGGGAGGAAGCCGAGGATGTGGAGCCACGTGGAAGGCAAGTCAAGACGTCTTTCCCCCCCAGCTAAGATTGCGGCCCTCGGGGGAAGCGGCTCCAGAAGGTTGCCTTCTGCTGCGGCAGTTCGGGTGGCGGCGGCTAACCTTTATTTTTAAAGGTACATTGGATGCATTCGGGTTTGCTTCCAGGTCAGCCTTTGATATCCCGTGACTATGATCGAAACAGATTCGAAAGATCATCCCGCTAACCGTTTCACTATGATCCGTTCGATCGGTTACTGAGTTGATCCTTAGGTTGCTGCTGTTACCATTTAGTGCCCACGTTTATACCTAAAAAAAGACTTTCAAATAATAAAGGAACGGAGTATTACAATGTTACAGTACTGCTTGTGAGCCACTGCAGTCCATTATAAACTTGCAAATATTAGGATATTTTCTTTTTACCTTGTAGCTATTAGTTGCTACATAGATATGTTTCTACTCTGATAGTGAATTGGGTTTCCTCCATCAACTGGGACAGTTAAAACATTCAGGAATATTTACAGACCTCATACTTATTTATCTTATTTTCCTTCTCTTTCTCCCGTGCTATCTTATTAATGCAGAGTTCAGAAGAGCCATAGGTTGAATTAATATAGTACTATGTCCCCCTACCAAGAGGTAGCCTTGGGTGAATAAAATTAATCCGGAATTTCTTCTAAAAGAATTTTGGAGCTGGAGGAACACCAAAGTTTTGCTAAAGAAATAGAAGGGAGTCCCAGTCCCAATGTTTAATAAAGTCTTACATTTATTGAAACCATAACATAGTTTCATCTTTAACTTTGCCTTGAAAGAGGAATGATAGTATACCCTGAATTTAAAATAAGTATTCACCCGTTGAAAACAGATGTCAAGGCCTGAAAATAAAAAGAAATAGGTAATTAAGACAAATGGTAATAACTTTTTGCAATCCACTGCTTTCTTTTTGTAAGACCACATATTGAAATTTGCTGAAAATTGTCTACCAAGGTAAAATTCTTGATAGAATTAACTGTAAATGATCTACAGGTAGTCCTTGACTTTCAACCAGTTTCTGGTGTTAAGTGAAACAGTTGTTAAGTGAGTTTTGCCCCATTTTATGACCTTTCTTGCTACAGTTGTTAAGTAAATTGCTGTTGTTGTTGGTAACACAGTTAAGTGAATCTGGCTTCCCCATTGACTTGGCTTGTCAGGTTGCAAAAAGAGAACATATGACCCATGGGGATACTTCAACAGTTGCAAGTGTAAAAAATGGTTGTAAGTCATCTTTTTCAGTGCCTTTGTAAGTTCAAATAATCACTAAACAAATTGTTGTAAGTCAATGACTACCTATACTCAATCACAATGATTTCTTGATTTTATTATTCTTTGCACTAATCACAACCAAGCCTTTAGTCACTGAGTATAATTTTTCTAACTGAAATTTGGCTCATTGGTACTTAATATTGTGATGCTTCCTTTGGTGTTGTAACTGATCTTACCAAGTGGCTAGATTACAGAATAGGGTTGTTAAGGGACATAAATTTTCATGTATTATTGACTAAATGTTAATTTTTATTTCCTTTTATTTGAGTTACATACATGCTGAAAAATTAAAAATTGGAAACATCTGAGAAGACTTCTTTCTTCTAATAAGTTTGATTCTTGATCTTCTAATTGTTTTGTAACTATATATATGTGTGTGTGTGTGTCTTCTTAAGTTTTCGCGGGTGTGTATATGCAAAAAATTAAAATCTTGGGGGTTTTCCTGCGTCATGTTAAATAAGTTAGTTAAAATGTTTAAAATTCTGGTTAAAATCCTAGCTTAAAATCTTCCAAAAATCCTTACAGAGCACTTTGCAAGGTCCTTTAAAACCTTAGCTAAAATCCTACCAGTATCTTAAAAGTTTTTCTTTCTAGCAACGTTTTGACAGGCTCACAACCCTGTCATCTTCAGGCTTTTGTTTAGTTTAGAAGCTATGGGTTTGTTGCGAGGTCGGACCTGTCGCTTTTCTATGTTTAACTGCTAGTGGGGGTTCACACCCCCATAGCAGTTAAAAGGAAGAAACAGCTGCGATCACACATTGCTCCTAGAAGCACGAAGCCGAAAACACCAGCCTGAAGATGACGAATGAGACTTCGTCGAAACGTCGCCAAGACACTTCCAATTTTACGCGGGAGAAAACCCGAATAACCAAAGACCTACATACAAACACCCGCAAAAACCTCAGAAAATATGTGTGTGTGTGTGTGTATATATATATACATATACATATACATATACATCATATACATCATATACATATACATATACATATAGATAGATAGATAGATAGATATAGATATAGACAAACTATATGCTTTTTCTAGATTATACATCATATAAGCCAGGGATGTCAAACTCAAGGCCTGCAGGCTAGCTACAGCCCACGACATCAGATTCAGCCCGCACGGCCGTCCTGGAAATTGTAAGCGGCTGGCCCGTGTCGCTTTGGCCTGGCCCATGCTATTCCAGAAGGCATGTAGGAAACGGGCCAGCATTGCCTCATCCATCACTTGCCCCTCAGCCCACACCGTTTCCCCTTCTTCGTAGATCAGGAATGCAGCCGCCACTGCTGCTGATGTCAGCAGCCTGCTCCCCCCAAGAGATGGTAGACCCGCGGCTTCCCCCTCCTCTCTGCCCCCACCGCGCCAGCCCTCCACCTGGGTGGCCGGCCCGCCTCTCTGGCCGCTGCCTCATGATTCTCGTGCTCCCCTACCTGCTATGCGTCTGGCAGTGGTGGCATCCCCCTGCTCGAGGAGAGGGTGAAGTGGGGCGTGCTGTGGCTACTGGGCAGCCCCAAGGCAGTGGCTGGAGTGGCTGCTGCTGCCAGGCGAGCAGGCAGGGGAGCATGAGAATCACGGGGTAGCGGCTGGAGGGGTAGGCTGGCCACCCAGGTGGAGAGCTGGCGAGGAGGGGGTGGCTGCTGGGGAACCCTGAGGCTATGGCTGGAGCAGGTTGGGGAGCATGAGAATGGAGGTTCAGATGCAACTCTTCCGAGTGCTCATTGAACAGGAGGGGCTGTCCAGACTGGGGTGAGGGTGGAGGGAGGGGAAGAGGGGGATGTGATTTTGCATGCTTGTAAGCAATCATAATGAAATCCGAGCCAGCAACAAACAGGACATGGCTGTGAAATGAAGGTTTAGGTTGCATCAATCGAAATGCAAGCTGGAAATCACCGGAGGAGACCCTGGCCACCCCCTGGCTGGGCACTGGAGGGACAGCAGCTAAGAGGAGAAAGGACTGGGTGGCTCCTGCTCAGTGAGCCCCACAAGGCGGAGGAATCCCCCCCTTCCATCTTGGCTCCTGTGTAAGGGGAGGGGCATCCACAGGATCACATGAGAAGCCACCATGCACTCCGCACCCCCCTCCGGAGCCCTGCCATCCATGGTGTGCTTTGGGGCTGCCTTTGCCTTCACAGAGGGTGAAGCGGGCTGGAACTCTGCCAGAGGAGGAGGCTTGGGAAGAGACCATCTGGCACAGCAGCAGGCATGGCACCTCTAGCTGCTCTCAAAGCTGCAGGGGCTAGTGAAGGAGCTGCCCAGGTGGGTGGGGGGCGAGGAGGGGCGGCAGACGAAGGGGCTTTGCACATGGCAGGGGGACAGACTGATGGGCACTTCGCTTGTTTAACCTTGGGCTCCAGCCCCCTCCAACCCCCGGTTTTTCTCTGCAACGTCCATGATAGGTGGGGGAGGCAGAGAGAGAGCCACCCAGAAGCCCCAAGGGGGAGGCTGGTTTGTGGGGCACAGCAAGTTCATGCCATTTGGAGATCAGCCATTCACATTCAGGCCGCTAAAATGGGGGAGGCAAATAGAAAGCCTAACGTGATCTTTTCCAGAAAGACATTTTTGTAATGTCTTTCTCTTTGCCCCTCCCCTCCCTTTCCCCATCTTCCTTTCCCCCTCCCCTCCCCTCCCCATTCTTTTTTTACCATCTCTTTCTCCCATCCCCCTCCCCTGATCCTGACCCTCTCACCCTCCCCTTCAGCCTGTCCCTCACCCTCTCGCCCTCACCCCCAACCTAAATCTAACCCAAACTCACCCTCACTCACCCCTCTGAGAGGAGAGATTACAAAAGGAAGGAAGCTTCCCCAGAGTCCAGGAGCCCCACTGATTGGCAGCTTATCTCTAGGAAGCTATCTTCCCTCTGATAACTAACAGTAGTTATGAGAGTAACTGACCCTTTAGCCTGCAGGGATGAAGGCTTCTCTTCTCCTCCTATCAAAGGACACCTGCTCCTCCACCTTTGTGACCTACACCTGTGTCACACAAAGGTGTCTATGAAGCTACCAAACCAATCACTAAAGCTAAAAAAATTGTCATTTTTTGCAAGGTAGCCATAGCATTTTGGATGTGGATCGCCTCTTGCTATAGATCAGGGGTGTCAAACTCAAGGCCCCTGGGCCATGCCCAGTCGGCTGTGACCACCCCAGCCATGCCCCTTCTCCTCCTCCACCCCCCCCCCAGGACAACCACAATGCTGATCTGGCCCTCAATGAAATCAAGTTTGACACCCCAATATAGGCTACTATGTTCACTGCATTTTTAAAAAAAATTTTATAGTGAAACTGAAAACCTCGCACTTAATCCAATTTAATTTACTTTATTTTATGTCTTTCTAATCACCTGGCTGTCCTACACATTTCAGTTATTTGTGTTTTCTCCATTACTAAGTTATCTCACTCTTGATGCTGGATCAACTCAAACTGGCCTTCCAGAGCAGTTCCAAATTGAATTTTGGATCCAGTATTAAAATAGGCTAGGAAGTCTTTTCACACCCTCAGGAAAATGTGTAAATTAAGCATGTTCAAAGAAAGAAATGTAGCCTTCCTCAAATTTGACCTCTTGCTGACTTTATGGATAAGCCCATGTAAATAATTATTGACTGAAATATGAAAGTAGTTTGCCTAAATTAAATGTGTTTTTCAACTTCTGCATTTGAGCTAAAACAGGTGTTTTCCCATAAAGGACCCAATAATGATCATTAACTAGAGCATTTACATTTTATAATCTGGCCTTAATTATTGCAAATAGGGACCAAGATAATCTAATGTATGTTCCTTTTTCAAATTGCCTTGATAGCTTCCCCAAAGAGGGAGATTGGAGAGCACGGGAAGATTGTTGAAAATATTGGAACAAGGAAGAATTGTTGAAGAGAGAGAGCACACTGTTTGGAGATTCTTGTTTCCTAATCTTTAAATACACATGTTGTATAGAACTAATGGCCAGACTCTTTCCCAGCTTTTCTTTTATTATCTGACCAGAGATGAAGAGGAGAGACCCTCAACAGCACTCCTTAGCAATCAGACTCCAGAGGCTATCTCCACCACAACTGTTACCAGTTAAAAGTGGGCACTTCTTGCAAGTTTCTTCCTTCCTTCTCTGGCTGTTCTTGGTGATGTAGCAAAAAATGCATCTCCCTTCAGACGGAGGTTCAGGGCAAAGTGGATTAATAGTGAAATTTGACAGGTTAGGTCAGGACTGTCAAACCTCCGGCCCATGGGCCAGATGTGTCATGCGCTGGCCATGCCCACACCATTAAGTGAAGGGGAAAAAATTCCTGATATGTGATGCCACCGTGACATGAGTTTGACACCCATGGGTTAGGTTAACACAAAACAATATGGCACTAGTTTGGCACTGTCTCTTGTTTGCATGTTTTTGCCTATTGAATTTTGTACAAATGGAAGGGCATTTGTTTGCAAAGAAATATGAATTCAGAATAGAGCTCTATTGTGCATAAGAACAACAAATGTGCTGGCATTGTAACGCATTTAATTTTGTAGCCTCTGAATTAGTTGTTTTTTATTCTGAAGAGACAACTAGTAATATAGACTGAGAATATGAATGTTTAATCTCTCTTCATTTGCAAATACGTTCAGAATGTTAGCATGTTTAAGCAAGCTTGGAGTCAATCATTTGTTCCTGGAGTTGTACACATCTGTATTTAATTTAGAAGTCATTATGGATAAGGAACCACAGTAACCACTATAGTCTTAGCGCTCCTTATCTGTAAATAGAAATTACATTTTTCCAGTGGCTCAGTCATAACGTGTATAAGGCACAAACCCAGAGATAACAAGATCAAATCAATTCCAATCCTTTATTTGCTTAGAGATTCTAGGATGTGGCTATCCTGATAGCATTTAGACTTATTTACCACTTCACAGTGCTTTACAGCCCCCTCTAAGCAGTTTACAGAGTCAGCATATTGCCCCCAACAATCTGGGTCCTCATTTTACTAGCTTCAGTCTGAGGCTGAGTCAACCTTGAGCTGGTGAGAGTCGAACTGCTGGCAGTCGGCAGAGTTAGCTTGCAATACTGCATTCTAACCATTGCACTACCACGGCTCACTTGATCCTCCCTCTCCCTCCAGCAGCTGAGGTCTGCAGTCTCTTAATCCAAGCCTCTTTCTGGGAAAGCTCTGTTGCCAAAATTCTCCCCCACTGCTTCTGCAGATGCATATTCTATCACATCATCAGTGGTTTACCATGTGGCTTATTCATTAAACCTGACCACACATTGAATAAGTGTAATCACTATCACCAAATCTGTATGTATGTGTTGGGAGATGGTGGGGGAGTGGATTCCTTTAATGTTTTCTTATATTTCTTGGATTTTGCTATTACAAAATAGGGCCATTGGACTATAGAATTGATGCCTGCCCTACTAAAATCTGTACAGCTCCTGATGTCCCAAAGGTGCTTTTTCAGGAGGCAACTGGACTTCGTTTTTTCTTTTGAAGATATTTTGCTTGTCATAAAATCCTCTCATTCCCCACTATCCTATCAGAGCTGAAGAAGCTTTTTGGATGAGAAGCAAAACATCTTCAAATGAAAGTCCAGTTCCCTCCTGAAAAAGCACCTCTGGGACAACCATGACCTGGATGACTGAGAATCTCTATAGCTCATGATGCACAGAAAAGTTGTTGGATTACATTAGACCATAAATTAGAAAGAACATGTAATAGGGGAAAAAGGGAGAAATGATTTAATGCTATCAATTACTATTAGTTACAAAAGCAGCCAGGACTTTTCAGAAGGAAATTACATTTAGTTCAGTTTTTAACAAATAATAAAAAGTGGAATAGCTTTTACATACAATTCACCACCATAACAATTCAGAGACACCATAATCAGAAATAGAAACACAGTATTCAGAAAACTGAAATAATAAATCCAGAACTATTTAGTGTAGGAAGATGGTTTCTTAGAGCACAAAATTACATCTAGCAGATTTCCTGTTATTTTAATCTGTACATTACTAAATCCATGTTCTTCTAATAACTGTTTGTATTCCAATGTATTTCTTTCCTTGCCTTCTGTCATACTGAGAGACTGGAAAACAGCTCTAGCAGGTTTTATTCGCTTTTCATCAAGTATTATCTCTGCTATTAGCAGCGCAATTCCTATATTTAAAACAAAAACAAAAATGTAGTAACATACACCTAGACTTTTGTTAATGTTTTTTTTATCCTACATGAAACTTTTCCTGTTAAAAGGAAAACAGGATTATATTTTTTAAAGATCAAATTATTGATACTTTAAAATGAGTATAGACAACGTGCATTCCAGGTCCCTCCAACCCCATTTTGTGGCCTCCCAAATCATCCCCAAATTGTATCACAGAATTCTGCAACAGTCCCAGAGATGAAATTCTCCCTTGCAATGTAACTGCAATCTGGAAATGTGGACAGTAATATCCTCCTACTTTTAAATATAAACAGTTCTGAACACGAATAACTAAGAAAAAGGAATTTGCCTCTTGTAGGTTGATGGCTGTTCTGATTCTGACCTCTTATTGAAACCATGATGGAGTTTAAGACTCTTTTCATGCAAGACTAATGAAGAGATATTTAAAAAAATCATTTTCACAATCTTCCTTCTAGGAACTTGAAATTCAATTCATATGCAAGTGCACATTATAGAAGCTGACATCCAGTATGGCAGATCAAGAAGCCTAGCTTGAACTACTACCTGGGAGGAGCCCAAATCAGAACTATAATGCAAAGACTTGATTTCCCACCACCACAAGTATAATCTTCATTAAAACGGGAGTGGAAGCAGCCATATGATCCAAAAGGAGATGGCAGTGATATGAGACGAAAGCCCCTTTTGTGCTATGATCCTGATCTGGCTTCCATCCTGCAACCACTATTTAAACTGGAAAACAAACCCAGCTACAGTGAATTGTATTTTTATATTTTATACAGTGGTTAGCTTGCTCTCCAACTTTGTCTGAATTCAACTCCATGAACTCAAAATTAAAGTACTTTGAGAATTTCTGAGAGTCACTGGAACAGTAGAATTTATTTCTGACTGAATAATTACAGGATTAGATTGCACATATTTAATGTGATGAGGCTAGGAATTTCAATGCTTAGCATTTAAACAGCTACTTTTCAAAATATGCAAAGCAGACATGTTCAACAATATTTACAACAATCATACATTGCTTTTAATTTTACAAGTACTGTGGAGGCACAGATCAAACTACAGATAGGCAGAATTTTACATAATTTTTGGTTGTTGTGATCCTTAAGTAGATCACCATGTGATTTCATTTTATGACCGTTTTTATGATTATCATAAAGTGAGTCACTGTGGTTATCAAGCAGATCCAATCTTTCCAGTGCTTTTTTGTCAGAAATCTTATTAAATGGAAGAAAGCTTAACTCCAGTCAGTAGTCAGTAGATTTGCTCCAATTAAATGTGCATAGAATCAGAACCCACCCATACAATTTTTCAATCTTCATGGCCACATCAATTCTATATATTATCCTCTGGCAAGCAACACTTTGGTAAAGATTCTGTAAGTTTTAAGGCTGTGCAAATCCTTCCAAAAAAGTGCTCTGTAGCACATGAAGGCACATTTGAGGCATCGGCATCCATAGCATAATGCTCTAAAGACAATTTTATATGAAATAAATACACAAAGTTATTAGATGAGGTATTGGGATTCTGGGAAAACCACTGGTATGCTGATTCTGCTATAGCATCTTTGTCAGTGAGATTGAAAAAGTACTGAATCTGTCTGAACACTGTAATGGATGGCATAAAAACCAAAAAATTAAAAATTCACTAGACAATTACTACAGGCAAATAGTTCTCAGATCCAGGAAACTGGTTTTCTTTTCCATCCTTTAAGGGCTAGTGTGGAGGAGCCAAACAGGGTAAATTGCCCTAACCAGATATTATATATGAGACTATTCTGGAACTACATTCTGAAGATTCAGCTGATGCAGATCATGGCTGTCAGTGATCAGCTGATAAATCCAGGGACTGCAAGCTCTGGTTTCAATCCAAGACTTTTTAAAAGTACTAAATGGCTTGGAACTCAAATACTTGAAGGAATGCCTTTTCACGCTTCTATGGTTTTCTACAGATGCTTTTCTTCTAGTGCCTGTATTATCGAAGGCAGGCTAGACAACAGACAGAAGTATATTCTAAGCACAGGAATTGCTGCTATGGGATTCCTTCTTCAAAACCTGAACCCTCCTTTAGCCCAAGTTGATTTTCTTTTCAGTTTCAGGCAAGAATGTTATTTTTCAGCAAGAATTACTCTTTTTACTTTTTAAAAAAATGTTAAAGCTTTATCTGCTGAATTATGGGTTTTAGAGATATAATAATTAGTTGTACTCTGAATCCTTAGAGACAGATGTTTGTGCAGTGTTTTAAATAAAATACTTTGGAGTTAAAAATTAGCTACAATTCAGTTTGTCTTAACATCATTAGCTTTCAAATCCCTTGTTTAATTGAATGAAAACATCATCCATAGAGTTATGTAAATGTAAAACCAATAAATCAATTAATAAGGGGGGAGGGGGATTTAAACTCTTACCTTGCTTGGAAAGAGCAGAGAGTTTGTTTAACAGTAGGGAAATCTTTTCCTCAGAATAATGATGTAAAACCCTTGAAAGAATATAAAGATCTGCTTCTGGAAGATTATCTTTGAAAATATCACCTACTTAATGAAAACATATTTTCATTAGTTCCCGCAGAAAGTGATTACATTTTCAGATGAATAGCTTCATAAACAAAATGAAACATGAAATAACATTTAAGTAAACTAAAATAAATAAGCACATTTCAAATGTATGCAGAACAGACCCAAATTTTTTTGGAGGGAAGAATGAGATTTTATTCTTATAATATTCTAAAAAAGCTCAGGGCTATATTTAACATAATGCACATAGATTCAAATATAGTGATCAAGTCGTAACATTTTCCCATGATTTCCATCACTGACTATTGGGGGCGAGTCTTTGGCCCCCACAGAGAGGGCTCGCAATCTGGGAGTCCTCCTGGATACGCAGCTGTCCTTGGAGGAACATCTGACGGCTGTAACCAGGGGGACCTTTTATCAGGTTCGCCTGATCCGCCAGTTGCGGCCCTTTCTTGATCGGGATTCCTTGTGCACAGTCACTCATGCCCTCGTAACCTCTCGCCTTGATTACTGCAATGCTCTCTATATGGGGCTCCCCTTGAAGAGCACCCGGAGGCTCCAACTGGTCCAGAACGCAGCAGCGCGGGTAGTGACGGGAGCAGCGTGGCGCTCCCATGTAACACCGCTCCTGCGTGAACTGCACTGGCTCCCGGTGGTCTTCCGGGTGCGCTTCAAGGTGTTGGTTATCACCTTTAAAGCGCTCCATGGCATAGGGCCTAGCTATCTTCGAGACCGCCTACTGCCACCAACGACCTCCCACCGACCCGTGCGCTCCCACAGAGAGGGCCTCCTCGGGGTGCCATCAGCCAAACAATGCAGGCTGGTGACCCCCAGGGGGAAGGCCTTCTCTGTGGGGGCACCCACCCTCTGGAATCAGTTGCCCCCTGAGATAAGGAGAATCCATGACCTCAGTGCCTTCCGCCGTGCCCTTAAAACTTTCTTTTTTCAACAAGCCGGGCTGGCTTAATTTCTTTTTAAGGGTTTTTTAATTGTTTTGTTTTGTTTATCGTTTTAATTAATGGGGCCAAATCTATATATATTTTTTAAATGTGTTTTAATATTTGTATTTGATGTTTTTATTTGGCTGTTCACCGCCCTGAGTCCTCAGAGAGAAGGGCGGTATACAAATTCAAAAATAAAATAAAATAAATAAAAATGAATTCCTGGATGTAAAAAATCAGGCTAAGCAATCCACTAACATAAAAAAGGGTCAATATTTTCATTAGAACCAAGTTGTTAAAATAAATTCAGTTAGCTTAATTTGCAGTCATATACATTAACATTTTATTGCAGAGATAATTGGAATTTTATTGAGATCTTATTTACTCCTGCAATGGGCCAAGTCTATCAAAGGTTTGCAGAACAGGTCACTAATCCACATAAAACTACAAGATCCTCATGCAATCTTTGGATTACAAGTGCCTTGATTTGGTCTACAAATGGTAGAAACACCTTTACCTGATACAAAGGATACTTCACAAGCATTTTGTCTTGAAAGTTGACAGCTGGTGACATCTGTAATAACTTCAGGAAGATCAAGGACAATGACTTGCATTTCTGGGTAGATCTGGACTAAATCATAAGCTAAAGCTCCAGTGCAACCTGCAGAGAGAATACAGAAATTTATTTTAGCACTCTGTGTTATTGTGTTGCGTATAAAAGATGGGAAGGAAGAAGTTCAGATAAAATGCATGTTGTGTTTGCAAGATCTCCCATAGAATTTATACTCACCCCATTTTTACTGGTTGGATGCAAGAAAAACAAACTGTTAAGCTTTTCGGGAACTAGTCAAATTCTTCATTTGGCATAAAATTATGCTGGTATTATATCTGTTGTCCCTATACTGGTCCTAATCTGTCTGTTTCTTTTCTCAATCATTTGATTTCTCTCCTAGTTAATGGGTGACAGATTTTATATACCTTGATAGGACACTATTTTAATATTAGTAGTTAAGAATAACTTAAACTTTCTCTCTGGGGACTGAAGAAAATGTTATAGAAACATGAAGGAAAAAAATCTTACTGGGGCATGATACACCATGACCAGATACAATAGCATTTGCTGAACTAAAAGTTACCTCCATCTCTCTTATGTAATTTTGAATATTTAAGTTTGAAGGCAGGGACACAAAGACATTAATCTAAAAGTTTTTTTTACTGTACATTATCTCTCTGAAGTAGTAAAAAAAAAATCCTGTACTTAAGATATCTTATATAATCTTTACAAAACTATCCATTTAATCACAACTATACATTAGAACATTTTATGTCAATATGTAGGGGTAGTAATGCTATAATATATACCTCCCAAATCACATACAACTTTGAACTGGGAAAGATCAAAAGCTGTGCTGATGTCCCTTGCTGTCACTTTGGAACTGCTGTCCATGGCTCTCACAAAACGTTGCTTTGCCTCTGCAGACTGACAGTGGAAATCCTTAAAAAAGAAAGCGAGATCACAAAACAAGTAGATAAAAGATATGTTAAAATGTAGATCTTGAAAAAAGACCTAAAACAGTTTGGTTTCTCCTCCCTGCCTAACTTGTAAAGCAATGACAGAATTATACAACCCAAATAAATTACATTGCTTAACATTACAGAACATTTAATTAAAGCATTTTAGAATGTCCTACATACAGAAAAAAAATTCTGTTCTCTGAATCATGGTAGGGAAAGTTAGGGAATTTGGCATGAAAAATATCAGGAATAAGTAAAATAGAGATACAATACACTATTTTTAATGGCATACAGGGCACAATAACTATTTTAAGATCTTATATCAGAATAAATATTTTAATATCTTGTGATTAATATCCAGCCAATAGGAGATATGAATTAGGCAAATGTACATATTTTCCAGCAGGACTCTCATAATTGTGGAATGTCCTTCTTGAGGAGATAAGTCTCCATTATAGAGGCTAATCTTATGGACCAATCCCACAGAACCACTCTGGCTAAGGAGAAGATGGGACATCCACTGGTACAGCTGCTGAATGCTATTCATGAGGAAACCGCATGATCGGTATCTTGAAAGTTTCAATGCCAAGAGATGAAGAAAACCATTATGCTCTCAGACGTGATAGAGTCTTTTAAGGACACTGAATTTGCTCACTCACTTTCAAATTTACTTTTGGAAATTACCTATTCAACTACTACCTTAAGAATATTACTGGTAGAAATCTTCAAAATGGCAAGTTTGAAAAGTCCTTGGTGAGTTTACTTTTGTTCTTAAAGAAAAATTGACTATAAGATTAAGAACTTAAAGAATTAGAAATAAACAGCAAAGAGCTAAATAAGAAAGTGATTTAAGAAAGTTATAAATGAATTAAGGAATCAGACAAAAATTGAAATAATGGAGCATTAGGACTTTTATTATACGTTTGGAAATAATTATATAGATACATTCAGGGGAACCAATTTGTTTAGTCTATCTTAAGTTAAAATAGCAACTTGAGACATTATGATTTCAGAAACAGAACACTAGAGGGGGCTATGGATTCCAGGCAGAAAGAGAAAAGAGTGAAAAACTTACTATCTTTAGTCAGCACTGAAACTTGCAAAATAAAAGAAAATGCTTGATATTTGAAATACTTTAAAAGATTTTTAAAGAATGGGGTCAAAAAATAGCAGCTTCAATGATGATTGCTTCTCTGAAAAGATTATGTCTAAAGATATTAAAGAATTTTACTGTTGCAAAAGAGAATACTTTGGAAGATTGACAAGATAAAGAGATGAAACAAATTTTGCTTGATGCAGAAATATGAGGACATAAGGGATTTGCAAAAGTACTGGGGAAAAAAAGTTAGGAATATAAGAAGAAAAAATATAACTGATGTAGAAATTTAAATAACATTACGAAATTGATCTTTACTGAACTTAAAAAAGAAGTTGGTTAAAGTCTTGGAAGAAATTCTTGGATAGAAAAATGGGAGATCAAATCCTATAACAATATCTGAATAAACTAAAGATTAAGGTTGTGGGTAAAGAATGAGTTGTGTGAAGAGATATTTGCATGTAATGTTATAGGGAGTGATGAATTATTGTTTGTACTTATGATTAAGTCTGAACAATTTTTCTTTTTCTTTTTTCTGCACATGTTTTATTGTCTTCTTCTTTTTACTTCTTAATTCAATTTGTATTTTCTTTTATTGCTATTAAAAAATAGAAGTTGAAAGAAAAACAAAAATATGGCAAAATATGCCTAGTAAGCTTTATATTTATTTTTAAGATTTTTTTTAATGTATTCGCTTTCATTAAAAAAAACTAGATTCTTCCCTACCTGAAACAAATCATTCACTTTCTTCTCAGATGTATGATGTATCTGTGAAGTTCCTTCTTTAACTGCTAGCTCCAAATGAGTAAACAAAGACCATAGGTGGTCATTACAATGAAGAATGTAGTCATGAAGTGAATATTCACTATCAGATACCAGGCATAGATTTGTTAGTTCTGCATTACTGTAACCTTTAAAGACATTTTAAAAATTACAAATTACAAACACAACATATTTTTAAAGAAAATTGGTGTACCAAATTCCAGAAAATTATCATTGTTTCTTCACAGATCAAATACTATGACTGCATGTAATTAACCAATTATCTTTGCTTATTAAATTTTGCACATCTCCTTGCCATGAAAACATAATTTTTTTAAAAAAAATCTAAAATGCATGGTTCTTTAAAATGGAGATATTATAAACAGTTTTGAGTGCAGTAGACTGCAGATACCAACAAGAAAATATTCAGGAAGTGGCAATGATTTTTCCCCAAAGGACAAAGCGATCCATAATAGTCTTCCTACTGCACAATCCCAAAAAGCTAAGTATCACTTATAAACATGCTAATACCCTGAAAATGGATAATCTGAAATTTGAAAACAAGTAACATTTGAGAGAAACCATTTTAAAACAAAAAACTCTTTTTATGCCTCAAAATTAAGGCTGCCTCCCTCCTAGCATGGTTGCAATTTTAAGGGAAGCTAGAGACCAGACAATCAATTCAACATCACAGCTGGTTATGTACTTGGGTGGGCTTTTTCTAAGGCCATTCCAAGTTCATTTTTCTCCACATGCACCTTTTTTTGCTAAACTATGTATAGCTTTACTCTACTTAGTATTCTAATTGCACTTGTATGACATTAGGATATTGTATACTCAACTTATTCTACACTTTCCTTCCAGAGTAATTTTAGAATAAAATATGACCTTGATGATTCTTTTCCAACAGACCAAGAGAAGCACAGGCATCAAGTAATCTTTCTGTTCCACGTAGGGAAGTATTAAGTTGATTTGCCGCATCTTCTGTGGTCACAGTGCCCCTATCTTTAAGAAGATCAAATATTTTCAGCTTACATGCCACAAACAAAACCTGCAGATATAGGAAAAATATTTAAAGGGAAATTTTGAATTCGACAGCTAGAAATGCTATAATCCATGCTGCATAATAAAAATTAAATACATATGGCCAAATAACAAATGTATTACCTTTGAGCCTTTAAATCCATCCAAAAGATGTGTAAGTTTAGAGAGGCATTGTGTTACATTTCTTGGTACTCCATTTTGAATTTCCATAGGTATCTTATAATTGCAATTGCTCTCTTTGCATTTTCCCAATTCCACAAGTCCACCATTTGTTAGCCTTTTGGCATCTTCCATTTTTGAAGAATCCATATCTGAAGAATCACAGTCTCCATCACTTAGAATCTCAAAAGTCTCCACTGAAGGGATAGAGTCATATTTTATATGCTGTATGGTATGCTTTGGGGGCGGATAATACAGTTCACCTAACTTTTTGCAGAAATGATTCAAAGGAAACCCGACCACATTCAAGAAATCTCCATGAATATATTCCACCAACATTCCCCCAAGTGCTTGGATCCCATATCCACCAGCTTTGTCCCTGAAGAAAAAATGCATGTACATGAACACACAACATTCAAGCATGAATTTAAAATGTTAGTATTTAACTTTAAAAAAAAAATTCTTAAAAAAACAACTAGTTAGTAAATTAATAAAATGTATGATGTCAAAAACAAAATAACCAGGATATTAAAGCTTAAGAGACTCAGTTAAAGTCCTCCTTAGACTCTTTTTTAAGACCTGGAATTAATGGCATAACACCATACCTCAAAACATTATTTTTCCTCAGAACAGAAATAAAAAGTGATTTTAAGTGCTAATACTATTGTAGCAATTTTGAAACATAATAATCAAATGAACTTCATGCTCACTTTTTTGTCATTTACAGCTAATAAATTTCACTATGTATGCTAGTTAATACGGTTTCCGAAAATGATACCACTGATAATTTCATTTTCATGGGAACAGAAATTAACAGAATAGAAATTCTATTGTGCTATATTCTCAAGTTCATACAATATTTCAGTGCCATTGATATTTATTTACATTGTGAAGTTGAACTTCCCAATGCTATAAGTTTTTAGACCAATGCAGTGAAGCAGTGCACTTACATTGGCTCACCGCTGTGGATATACTCCCACAGAAGTTCCTCAGAGAGTTCGGCAAATTTGACTTTTGTTTCTTCAAAGAACTCAGTGACTCCAGTGTCTAGATAATCATCTAAAAATGCAGAAGTATGGATAAAACCAATATATTGGATAATAACATCAAGATGAGCTACCTTCAGAAGACTTATTCCTGATCTTCACAATCTGTAGTCCATAAAGCAAGTTGTTGTGAGCATTTTGAAAAAGCTTTCAAGCTTAAAGCAGTATATCTGCACTAAAAATGGACATTTTGTCAAATTTTACATTCAAAATGTTTCAAAACGTGTTTCCACCAACCTTATCTAGAAATATGTTTGTACTTGAGTACAAATGCTGGATTCCCTAGTTCACAATGACTTTGTCTTTCCAGAGTGGATCCAATTTGTTGGAAATAGTTTCATAATTTATCTGGCTTTTCTAGTCAATAATGTCCTATCATTATCAACATCATTATAAGGAAGCATAGTAAACTAAATTGCTATAATACAGAAACGTTGCAAAAAAATTATATCTTTAGTGAGGTAATAGTATCATTTAATAGTTAACCAATATTCATCTTCAAAATAGAATTTTTTTGAATAGAAAATGCAAATTAAGTTTTTCAAAGGCACCTGTTCATTTATTTGTTCATGTATCTGTTGGTTTTGGATGCTTGCAATGTATCATTTTTTTAAAAAAAAAATTAAAAATGTGAATTAAAGCTGTTCTAAACCACCTTGAATTCCTGAAAGAAAGGTAGAATATATGTCCACCAAACAAGGATTAAAGTTTCAGAACTTCAATTGAATAGAGATAAGCTTAATTCCTGAAATCGCCAGACTCAGGAGTGCACTGCTAAAGAGTGGACAACTGTACAAATAATGAAAATTGATCTGACACAGATATCTTATATTACCTTTACTACTGCAGTGAACAATTGCAACACCTGTGACAACACTATGTTCTTTACCACTTAACCTATTAAAAAAAATAGAAAATTAGTCTGCCATCATTTTGATAAAATTTGGTAATGTATTCTCACATATTATGGTATAAGACTTGTCTCTCTTTCTCTCTCTGTATATATACATACATATGTATTTATATCATTGTGTAGCACATGGGACAACACAATATTTGCATATAGGCCTAAAGATATGTACCCATGTAGTAGGGCTGTATTGCTATTATCCTTCTCACTTTCTCATCTTCTCATTTCTTATCTTTTCTCATCTTCTCATCTTTCCTATTACCTTCTCCTATTGCTACCTTGTTTTGTCATTTGTTGTTTATTTCTTATGATTAATGATTCATGATTGTAGCTGTGATTTATTATCTATGACCTATCATTTATTGTCTCTATGTACACTGAGAGGCTACACACGGGAGATAAATTCCTTTTGTGTCCAATCACATTTGGCCAATGAAGAATACTATCATCTATCATCCATCCATTTAGCTAAATTATAGTCTAAATCAGTGTTTTCAATTTGCAATTTAAAATGTGTGGACTTCCAACTCCCAAGCATGCCAGCTGGGGAATTTTAGGACTTGAATTCCACACATTAATATTGCTGAAATTGAGAAATGCTGGTCTAAGTAATGGTAGTTTTTTTCAGGCTAATGTAACAGTTACAACAACAAAAAAAAGTATTCAACTCTTGGAAATGATGTAGCACATTGGTAAAATAGCATAAAGTCTTTCCAATCCAACACAGTTCTGTCAATAATACATTGAATATCTAAAATTAAAATTAAAAAATAGAATAGAATAGAATAGAATAGAACAGAATAGAATTTTATTAGCCAAGTGTGATTGGACACACAAGGAATTTGTCTTGGTGCATATGCTCTCAGTCTACATAAAAGAAAAGACACGTTTATCAAGAATCATAAGGTACAACACTTAATGATAGTCATAGGGTACAAATAAGCAATCAAATCATGTTAGGAAATAGTCAATATAAATTGTCAGGATACAAGCAACAAAGTTACAGTCATACAGTCATTAGTGGGAGGATATGGGTGATAGGAACAATGAGAAGATATAAAAGATATAATAGTATAAAAACAAATAGAAACACATTAGTAAAAATATGCCCCATAGGAGATTGGAAATCAAAGCCTAGTGTACTATCCTACACTGTTTAGATTTCTCTCATACTAATAATATTTTAACAAACATTTTGGGATTTTTTTCTACCTGTAAAAGGCTGGTGTAAAAATAATGCACTGCAAATGGCCAGGCCTAGATAAAAGCATTATTTGCATTGAAATTTAATTTTAAAGCATATACCTGGAAAGCATCTTATAGGCATCCTGTTTGTCCACTGGTTTTTCCAAAATTTGTCCTCCTATAGTCTGAAATGGAAAAGTATACATATGTATATCTCATTCGGCTAAACATATTATGAAATTATCCGGGAATAAGAGTTTCAAAACTTGCAGCCATTAGGTTCTAAATAAAATTTGGAATAGTGTGCCTATACTTTTTATGTAGAAATAAATTATGTATCCTTGTTACAAAGAAGATACAAACAATGTGCATTTTGAGTAGTTAATTGTGGGTAAGTAAGTTCTGTCAATAATACATTGAATATCTAAAATTGGTGTATCAAAATAATTTCCTTTGTAGCTGTGGCTCAAATAAAACATAATTTATATATTAAAACATTTTTCCTTTAGTTTTATGGTATCCTTAACATGTATGCTGATTTATAGTTCTTCTTACAACTGTATTTATCTATACAACTGAATGCTTTATCTCATACTTGACAGAAATTATCTATTAATTAAAAATCCACTCTCTGCATGTATTTTGCAAGCAGAACAAATACTCAGAGACATTTGCCTTTCTACAAAGATATGAGCACTAAAACTAAAATAGTCATAACCCAAATACTCAACCAAATCATATAAAAGTGAATAAAATGAAGCATGTTAAGAAAAGCCATAGAAATACTATTAAGGATATAGGAATTAACCTGACACCAAGTTGGACTACTGGTCCATATATTATTGACATTCATTAGCAGCAGCAGCAGCAAAAAAGGGGTTTTACCCCATTCTGACTTGGCCTTTTGCAAACACATGTTTTTTTTCTTTTAGATAAAGTGGCTCTCTTTAGGACAAAGTGCCACACAGCACAACTTTTAAAAAAGCTTGTGGTGCTGGAATTTTCTGAATGAAAACATAATGAAGAAATCAAAGACACGTTGGTTTCATCACATTTTTGATAGCTATCATAATATCCAGGGGTGGGTTTCACTTACCTTTGCTACTGGTTCGCTTGCGCGCGCACCACTTCTGCACATCCGCAGAAGCTTCTGCACATGTGCAGATTGTATTTGATGACATCCGGGTGGGTGGACGCAGCCTCCCGCCGCCACTACCGATTCGTGTGAACCGGGGTGAACTGGTAGCAACCCACCACTGATAATATTTCTTCTAATATATATTGTATATATGCCCCTCGTTCTCAACAACGGTACATTTCAATGCAAATGAATGACATAAAAGATAATAAGGGAAGTGTAAATATGCTTTTTCTCACAAGTATAGTATAGTATAAAAACTGTTTCCAAGGAAAGTGAGTAACCACACAGGAAAAAGACTGTTAAGTTTAATTGTTTACAAAACATTTATTTCACAAAACAAGAAACTGCACTTTTTGGGCTTTCTTCCATTTTGCTCATGCGTTTTTCATTCAGGAGAATGAAAAGCTGCTGAGAAGCGTTCTTTACAAATTTGTCTAAATCGATTTTCAGAAAAAGCTGCCTTACCACACTTCCAGCATCTTTCATCCTCAGACTGTATTTATGTAAAATGGTTACCCATTTTCCATACTAAACTAACTCCCTTATAATAGAATTAAAAATACCAATATTGGATAGACAAAACTGATATTTTAAATTTCTATTATGTGTATGGATCCAGGAATACAATAGAACTACACAACTACTACTAACCTAAAAGTTGTCAGCATACATATACTCACCACTATAGTGTCTGCTCCAATAACAATATCTGGTGTTTGAAGATGTTTCTGAAAGAAAAGAAAAATAAAACATAAAAGGTCTGTGTATTTTATTAAATTTTCTCCATGACAACATATCAATGCTCCTATAAACTTGAATGTTAACAGATAACAAATTAAGCAGAAAAAGCAACTTTAATTCAATAGAAGCAATCTTGATTTCATCCAAGTGCAGTCATTAATAGAAGATCAAATGTGAAAGGTGGATACTTGTAACCTGGCCAGGCATTTGATTGGTGTTTGGTGGATGGTGGGAAGCAAGGGGGAGAGAATAAACTAGCTGATTTTCTGTAATTTTAGAAGTCTGGATGGCATATATTTTCTTCTGAAGTCTTTTCAGAAGAAATATGGGCATACAGAAATCTTTGTCTCACACTATTGAAGGTCATCCACTGAAACACTAGATGGGGAGATTCATGTAGTGAATAAGGAGGACATCCTTATGCAATTTTCTGCCATCTGATATGGTGGTGACTACTACTTGAATGTTTTAAAAGGGTATTACATTAATTCATGGATGATAGGTCAAAGACTAAACATTAATCCCAGAAACAAAGATAAAGAAGGTTTTAATCATTAAAAAGCTCCAAAGGAAGAGGGCTATCATCCTCTTATCATAATTCAGGTATTTCTGAATCTGGTGAGCCACTCTGTGACAAAGAACATTGGGTATTGAATGTTGGTTTGGCCTCATCCTGGCTCAATATCTTAAACTCTTCCATGTATTTGAGCTCATTTTTTCTGTTCCAAGTTGAATGTTTTATCCACAGGTTCCATGTTTTACGTTTAACAGGCTGCCAAATATACATTTTGCACTAATAACAAATAGTGATGGTGAACAATAGTCTCCTTGGCTATAAACATTCAATTTTCCTATGGGCAAAATCAAGCACATGTTAAGTCAGGGATGCTTAGATCTGGCCCATGGGGCCAGCCTGGAAACAGCAAAGGACTGATCCGCAGTGCCTCTGCCAGCAAAACCAGAGCTCGGGGGGGGGGGACCACACATGGCCCCCTTGCACCCCATGATGGCCTCCTGAAGCCCTCTGCCAGGGAAAACGGAGTTCAGGCTGCGCATGCCCCATTTTCTATGGCATAGGGCTATCAAAACAAACTAAAAACAAAACAAAAGGAGAAATGTTTCCTCTTTTGCATTTGAGCATGCAAGAAAGGACAGGAAAGGGGAAAGGGAAATAGAAAAGAAAAAGAAAAAGAAAGAAAGACGGGAAGAGAACAAGGAAGAAAAAATAAGGAAAGAGAGGAAGGAAGAAGAAAGGAGAAGGAAGGAAGGAAGGAAGGAAGGAAGGAAGGAAGGAAGGAAGGAAGGAAAGAAGGAAGGAAGGAAGGAAGGAAATAATAAGATTGAGGGACGGTCTCAGGGAAGTCCTGCCTTACCACTTGACCATCACAGGTGTCCCGACACGAGTCCTGTGTCACACCCACCATTTCCACGCCTCCCCAGCCCCGAGGTCAAACACAACCCTGATGAGGCCCTCAATAAAATCGAGTTTGACACCCCTGTGTTAAGTGGATGATAGACCCATTATTCCACCCATCCTTATTATCAACCATTCGCTTTCTACTAAAGGGGGCAGCATAATTCCTGTTATTTGATGCCAACAGAGGGATATAAGAAAAAAAATATATCAATAAGTCAATGCAAGAAACAAACCATCAATAAAATAACCATCAACAAACCTATCAATAAAATAAAATAAAAATAGCCTTAATATGGAAATAGGCTCACCACATGCATTCTATTTGCTACTTCAAGTGCCTTCTGTTTTGCAGTTTCTACAGCATATTGATACGGGGCTGAAAAAGTTGACTTCTCAAGTGTTTCTTTGAACCATGATGGAACAACTTCAAACTGGAGACCCTATTAAACAGAAAGAATACATGAATGGAGGGGGTGGGGGTGGAATCATGCAAGATTTGTATTTTATAGACTGCAATCACCAAGGCCTTGGTGATTAAAGACTACTTAACACTATCCTCTTCAGAACTGCAGACTACAATCTGGAATATCTAGCATCACAGATGCAACAGGAGAATATAGTACAGTAACTTTTCTTATTTCATCTTTCTACTCTGCTGGCAGAACTTAATATTATCTCTCAGAAAGTAAGGGCTGCCTAAATTGAAAGACTGAGTGAGGTACAGCAGTTAACAAATGTTCTGGTTGGTCTTCAAAAACAAAAGAATATTTTGATAAAGCCGCCTTCTTGTTAAACCTGAATCATATCTTAATCATGCTTAAATACATTATTAATAAAGTAAGAGTTTAAGGTTTTAGGAGGAAACCATTTCACTGATTCCCACAAATTACATATAGAAGATATTGGAGAAATGAACAACTGACTAGCTAGAAACCTGAACTATTAGTTAAGTTACTTGTCCCTTTTGAATTTAGATGCCCTTCAGTTACAAACATGAGTATTCTTATCCACCTTATGAATTCACAATGATGATTTCTTAACTACTTGGTGAACTCAGCATACTGAGTGAAATATAAGCAGCAAAGGTAGCTGTGTGGTGTTTGCTTTAAGGAAAAAATAGAATATACAACACTAATATGATTATTAGGCTACAATTCTTCATCAGCAAGATAACTAAAGCAAAGAGAGTGGGAAGAAAAGATGGGCTGTTTCTAAACCATGTAATCTTTATAAATTCATCCTATAAAGATGGACCATAATCTAAACCATGTAATCTTTATAAATTCATTTTATAAAGATGGACCATATCTAAACATGAAATCTTTATAAATTCACCTTATATAAAGGAGAGCTATGTTAGCTTACAGTGGCAAAAAAACTGAGGAGTCTGATAGCACCTCTTCAGCTAACAAATTGTATTACAATATATAAGCTGTGGCTCACAAAAGCTTATGTGTTTTTGTTAACCAGAATAAGTGCTACTACTAGACTTCTTGATGGGGTATATTCTTTATACATGTCACAAAGGTACAGGTAGTGCTCAATTTACATTTGTTTAATTACAGATCAAAGTTACAATGGCACTGAAAAAAGTGACTTATGACCATTTTTTACGCTTATGACTGTTGTAGCATCCCCATGGTCACATGATCAAAATTCAGATGCTCAGCAACTGATTCATATTTATGACGATTGTGGTGTCCCAGGGTTATGTGATCACCTTTTACAACATTCTGACAAGCAAACTCAATGGGAAAAGCAGATTCGCTTAACAACCATATTACTAACTTAACAACTATAATGATTCACTTAACCAGTGTGACATTAAAGGTTGTAATATGGGAAAAAACTCACTTAACAAATGTCTCACTTAGCAGCAGAAATTTTGGGCTTAATTGGGGTCATTAGTCGAGGACTACCTGTATTGCAAATCATGCATTAAGGCATTACAACATGCACATTCTCGAAATGAGATCAAAAGTCTATCTATTGCAGTGTCCCGTTTCCAAATCTTTTTGGGAATTCTACAACCAGAGATAAATGTAATACAGTACACTTCTGATTTACTGTATGCCAAAGAGGAGGGTCCCTCCGATCTCAGAGGTGTCCCATACTTATGGGGACAGCAGATGGGAGCACTATTCTGCATTAATATTTTACATTGTTATATTGATGTCTCCGGCTACATCTGATAAATTCCATACAATGCCGTCGTGTCAATGTGTATGCTTTTCCTTTCACAGATGTGCTGTCCATGGATACAATTACTTAGACTAAAGTGTTCCTTATTCTGATCTTCCATTAGCTCCTTTAGGAAAAAAGAAAATTTATACTGGGGTGGGAGGGGGAGGGTAGTATGTACAAAATCTCTACTGTTGTATGACAAGCTTTTTCAACTTTTTGCACCGGTTTAATGGGGTTTTTTTTTTGAAAAAAGTTTTTCATTTTTATTTCTCATACACATAATATAAATGTACATTCTCTTATATATAATTGGTCATACATATATATATTTTTCTTAAAGAAAGTATAAAAATAAGGCATTTTAATTACATTCGGGGTTGCTCTTCTACCCTTCCTTTTCCCTCGTTTCACAACAAACCTTCTCCTTCTTCTTTCCCTTCCCTCCCTCCTCTCCTCTCCTACTTTCTCCCTCCTCCTCTCCCTAAATCCCCTTCCTTTCCCTCACTCTTTGCCTCTTTTTCCTTTCTCACCTTCTCTCCTACTAGTCTGCTGCCTTTTCTTCCTCTCCTTTCCCCTTTCTTCCTCTCCTCTCTCTCCCTCTCCTCTTCTAACCCTCTCCTCCTCTCTCCTTTCTTTCTCCTTTGTTGTGGAATATTTTCCTTGTTTGTATCCAAGCAATTCCAGTATTCTAATAATATATACTTTCTTTTCGCTTTCTTTTCAGTTTTACTCAATCTATCGCTGTTATCTTCATAATTGTACATTTATCCTTATAGTCTTCTTTTCCCCCCTCCCTGCACCAGTTTAGTTTTGTAATTGCAGGTTTGTAAGCCCCATCCCATACTTCAGCCCACTGAGCTTGTCGATCCGAAAGGTCGGCAGTTCGGCCGTTCGAATCCCTAGTACAGGTCTCCTGAGTGAACAGGGGGTTGGACTAGATGACCTCCAAGGTCCCTTTCAACTCTTTTACTGTTAAACCGTAGTCCCGTTCTACAAAACTGCCAAGTGTCCTTTCAACTGTGTTGCAATCTTTGAATTCTTTTTGAGGAGAGACCTGAATAGGCGCCTAAGTTTGCTTGAGCGAGGATTTCAAGGGCATTTTCTTCGGCATTTCTCAACTAATATCCTTCTTCCTCGGTACGAAAAACGGGACCGACGGAGCCGCGAAAGGGAAAAACCCTTCCACCACCTTTCCTATAGGACAGGTGCAATGGCCCCTTTATATGTAATTGTTAAAAATCCAGCAGCTCTGCCTAGAACTGATTTTTTTTGTTTTATTTTTAATCTTTAATTTTTTTGGAAATGCAAGGAATTCTTCCAAGCCCACCAACCCGCCGTTTAAACGAATCAGCGCACTCACCATGTTATTTAGGATCTCCTGCCTGCGCGGGGAGCCGCTTGCCAGCACCACCCGTTTGTCGACCAGCTTTTTAAGGACCGCTTTGAGCACCATGGCTGCAGATGTCGTGAAGGCGACGTCGCATAAAAGCCCAGGTGCGAGGAAAAAAACCCAATAAAGCCAGAACGCCAGAGGACAACCCACTAGGCCCGCGGAGGGGAGGGCGGAGTCCAAAGAAGACGTGGCTCCTCCCTCCCGCCTTCTGCGCTCCGATTCGCCTACGTGAGCAGCCCTTATAACAGAGGTCTTCAAACTTGGCAGCTTTAAGACTTGTGGACTTCAACTCCCAGAAGAGCTGGCTGGAGAATTCTGGGAGTTGAAGTCCCCAAGTCTTAAAGCTGCCAAGTTCTGCCTTATAAGCAGGGCTGGAGGAGCTACGGCCTTTGTGGAAGTTGAAGTCCCCAAGTCAGGAGTCTCCAACCTTGGCAACTTTAAGACTTGTGGACTTCAACTCCCAGAGTTCCTCAGCCAGCTTTGAAGTCCACAAGTCTTAAAGTTACCAAGGTTGGAGACCCCTGACTCAAGTCATAAAGGGGCTATAGTTCCTCACCTCCATCCTATAGGAAAGGTGGTGGAAGGGCTTTTCCCTTTCTCGGCTCCGTCGCTCCCTTTTTTTGTCCCGAGGAAGAAGGACATTAGTTGAGAAATGCTGAAGAAAATGCTCTTGAAATCCTTGCCCAAGCAAACTTTACGCGCCTATGCAAGTCTCTCCTCAAAAAGAATCCAAAGATTGCAACCAAAGGGTTTTGGTTTTTTTACAGTAACAGAGTTGGAAGGGATCTTGGAGGTCATCTAGTCCAACCCCCTGCTCACGTAGGAGACCTGTACTAGGGATTCGAATTGCCGATCTTTCTGATCGACAAGCTCAGTGTTTTAGCTACTGAGCCACCAAGCCAAGCGTTGAAAGGATACTTTGGCAGTTTTGTAGAACCGGACTTGACAATTTTGTAGAACTGGACTACATTATATTCTGCTTCTTGGTGATATAGTGGGCTGAAGTATGGGATGCGGCAGGCGGCTTACAAATGTGCAAGGTTACAAAACTAAACCTCTTAGATGTCTCATTAGAAGGCTCAAGCTACTGTTTAACCTGGCTTCAAAATCCCCATGATCTATAACTGGGAAGTGGGCATCTGGATTTTTGCAGCAGAGATCTGAAACCTCACAACTGACTTATGTTCTGGTTTTCTTGAACCATAAACTATCCAAATGGGTACATTTTTTTTAGCTAAGCTAAAAAAATACAACCACCATTGTTCTCTAAGATTAGCACTTGCAGAGCTTGTAACCAGCCTGGCTAGGTATGTTTTTTAGACATACTAGTATTATATCTTGGCCCCTTGAACCATATTTGCTTATTTTGGCGTAGCATGGATGAACATGGCATTTTGGAGGTTTAACCACAGTTCATGGTGTAGAACAGTGGTTCCCAGTGTGGGGCCCATGCCCCACAGGGGGGCAATTTGATTTTTAATGGGGGCAATTGGAACCTTGTTTAAACCAAGTTAATGGCCTTTTAGGCTTCCTCCTATGAGTAGGCGTTCACTTTTTCAACAGTAAGAATTATATGTCACGGGGAGGGGGGGCATCAGGATTTTCGAGATGCTTAGGTGGGACATGGCCAAAAAAAGTTTGGGAACCACTGATGTAGAATGTATGAATGGCCATATTGCAAGGAAACAAAGTCTCAAACCAATGTGAATCTGTAATTGTGAGATAGGATGTACTTTTGCAGTACCATCAGTGGTGGGATTCAAGTAATTTAACAACCGGTTCTCTGCCCTAATGATTTCTTCCAACAACCAGTTTGCCAAATTGCTCAGAAACTTAACAACCAGTTCTCCCGAAGTAGTCCGAACTGGCTGAATCCCATCACTGAGTATCGTGCTCTAAAAGGTAATAGAATGAACAGTAATTTCAGGAAATTCTGATTTAAATTACCTTCCATTGGAAGTGGCATGAAACAGATTGTCTTGCAACATTACATTTTGTAAGCTGCCTGGAGTCACCTACAGGTGAGTTGAGCAGCTATATAATTTTTTTAAATAAATTAATTAATTAATTAATATTTCCCTGTCAGATCTAAACTGCAGACCAAAGCTATGGAGTTCTAAGGGTGACGTTGAATAAAATTGGGGGAAAGTCTGACTTACTTTAACAGCATGAGTTTTGTAATTCACAATGTACTTTGTTAGACATTGGAAAAGACGGAAAGGAAAGAACATGAATTATTTGAATTTATCAGAATGAAATATATTATCTGCCTTCCCTTAAGCCGTCACAGCAGTTATGGCTGCATCATTATGTCATGCTGCCATGTATGGGATTTTACATCATTTACCATATAGAATCAAACCCTTCCAGAAACTTTAGCGAATTAGTACTTGGATAATTATACACATGTGTAACAGCTCTTGCATATACAAATGGAGGAATGGAAGTGATGGAAATAATTCTTCAGCCAACACCACACTGGAAGGAGAGTGAAGACCTATTTTCTCTAATTGTATCCACTTTCTAGTGTACCATGGCAAGAGAATGTAAGTATAGGTAGTCCTTAACAGGCAACCTTTCATTTATCAATTGTTCAACGTTCTAGTGGCAATGAAAAAAGTGCAACTGATCCTTGCATTTAAAACTGTTGCAGCATCCCCACGCTTGGCAACTGGCATACATTTATAATTATTGCAACAGCCCAGGGTCATTTATTCACTATTTATGGCCTTCCCAGCCAGTTTCTATCAAGCAAGTCAATGGGGGAGCCAGATTCACTTCATGACCACATGATCCACTTAACTATTACAGTGATTTTCTTACCTATGGCAAAAAAGGTAAAATTGGACATTACTCACTTAACAACCATTTTGATTATAATGGAAATTCTGATTCCAATTGCAATTGTAATTCAATTACAAGTACCTGGAATGGCTCTTTTTCCCCTCTTCCCCCCACTCCAGTGGCAGGAGAAGCAGCAGGAGAGCATATGGGGAGGGGGAATGTGGGTGAACAGTTGCCAATTTTCCAATTTAATATGAAGATCTGATATGGGAATATGGTACTAAAGAAGCAGAGGTGTTTCCCTTTTTGTGTCTCTCATGTTTGCAGATCAAATCCCTACTTTCCAAGGCAAAATAAAAGTTTGAAACCTTTTATTAGTATTAGATCTTTCCTTGTTAGGTTATCAATGGAAAAGTTCAACTATCCCTGCAGGAACAGGCCAAGCTATACCAAGTAAGCTAGAAAAACCTTCCAATGTTTAATAAGTAATCATTAAAACTCACTCAATGACAAATTTTGAGAAACTAAAGGAATAGTTGAGATGGAGAACAATGACACCAGATGATATCAGGAAAATCTCTGTTTAGGAGATATCAAGAAATAAAGGTTAAAGATCACTATGTTCAGAGTTCAGTTATTGACTTTTACAAGTGTACTGTGTACTTTTTTCTACATTGTAGATTAGGGGAAATACCCACATTGTATTATTTCATGAAAAAGACTTAAAATGAACTCTGGCACAATTAAACAGCAAATTAATCTCACAGATCTTCAACTACAAGCACTATGTATTTTTTCAGGTTTATAAAATCTTGTAACCCATTGTATTACAGTCATGTATCAAACAGGTGAAGCCTATACATTTGTTATACAGTGCAATAAGGGTGAAGCCCAAATAATGTGATCATGTACATGTGATAATAAATGTCTTTGAAATACTATGCTGGCTTTCCCCAGCTTGGTGATCTCCAATATGTTGGAACTGCAACTTTGCAACTTTCAGCCAGCATGACACTTAGTTTAGTTACTTCTAGACAATAAGATGTTTCAAGTTTTCCAGCATTATTTAAGTTAGTTTCTACAAAAAATAGAATGTAAAATGAAATTACCAACATTAATACTAACAATTTCCTGTTTCCGTTATATTTTTTAGGGAAGTGTTTTTCAAACCTGCCAACCTTAAGGTATGTAGACTTCAACTCTCAGAATTCCACAGTCAGCATTCTATGGGAAACTTAGAATGTCCTGTGTCCATTAAAGTAATTTTCAGAAGTTTCAGAAATCCTATGGCCAAATCAAAATTCTTGGAATAAGGAAGAGGCAGCTTTCCAATAAAATCTTGAATCCTTTAAATCAGAACTTTAGGCTATAAAGCAGAAGAAAGTTGTCCATTCTTCTAGAAATTGAATTTGAGCTAAAGGTTCAAGGAACACCGAAATATGAAAATATTGTGTCCAGACAATAACAGAACTTTCCATCATTTGGGCCTAGAGTGATTGATATCTTTGGTTGCTTTTTCACAAAGGACACCTCAGTACAAACTTGGTAAGCGGAACTTGATTTTCCACGTATTTTCCAGTATTCACATGGAGCACATCAGACCCAGGATCCATCTAATTCAGTTTTTATTTCCAATAGTGGTCAGTAAGAAGCTTTGAGGAAGTACATGAGTTACATTGTGCTATTTGCTCTGCATTAATTATTAGAGGAAAGCTCCTATTGACCCTCCTAGTTTTCTATTAACCATCATAATGATTTGAATGTGGCTGCAGATCTTCTACAGTGTCAATAATGTTCAAGAACTGTCTGTATTTGTTTTTAACCTCATGTGTTTGAAATTGCAGTAAAGCTAGTGTTTTCTTTGGCAATACTTTTAAACATAAGCTCAGAAATGGTCTGTTTTTCCCTCCTGTTTGGTATGAACTCCTGGCTTCCTCTTTTAGCAATTCCTGAACAAAAAGCAACTATTAATCCTATCTCCATTCCAAAGCTATAGTTTAAAACAGGGGTGTCAAACTGGCAGCCCTCAGGCCAGATGTGTCATGTGCAGGCCACGCCCACCCCAGCTCAGGAGTGAAATGTAAAATTTGTTACTACCACTTCTGTGGGCGTGGCTTGGGGGTAATGTGACTGGGTGGGCGTGGCCAACTTTTTTTTTTTAACTTTTCAAAGCATTTTTTTTCTAATGCTTTAAAAAACCTCTGCCGATCAGGCAACTCAGCCGGGATCGTCAGAGACTTTTCAAAGCATTTTTTTACCACCTCTTCTGCCAAGAGGTTGCAGAGAAAAATGCTTTGAGAAGCCTCTGATGATCCCAGCTGAGCCGCGCGATCATCAGAGGCTTTTTTTTTTCTTTTAAAAGTATTTTTTTTGCCAGGAGAGGT